CGGGCGAAAAGGCCGATACGGAGCGACTCCGCGCCGATAAAGCGGAGCCAAACCCGGCCTCTGCCTGGCCGGGGAGCTGCGGGGCCGGGAGCCCGCTCCCCGGAGGTGTGCCGCCGAAGGAGCTCGTGAGCGGTGCCGGCCCGTGTTGCAAGCAAGCATGGTAACTTCGTTGCACCCAGGAGGGCTCCAGAGTGGTTCAGCGCCCCAAAGTCAGGTGCCTTTGTCAGAAGTCACAGCAGGCCCCTGAGGGAAAGACATATATATGACGTGTTTTCCAGCAATCCCAGTCACCATAAAGGAGTATTACCGTGGCATCCCTTCAGAAAAATAAACCTGTAAAAACACAGTACAGAATGGTTATTCTGGGACAAACTAGCGAGGGTCTGCAGCCTTACTTTAAAAAATTCCCCCAAATGTCTTGGATTAATGTAAAGGGAAAGCCTTGATGAACTTAGTCCCAGATCTTGCAGGTTGCAGGATCAGAGCTTGAATTTTCCTTAGACTGTTCCAAGAAAGTTGAAAAGACAACAACACTCTTTGAAACCAGTCTGGGATTCTGATCCAGGTAACACCTGGCAGCACACCAGGTAGCGTCAAGGTGTTTGCGAGGTGAGCAGTACAAGAGGTCTCTGGAGAGCATCCCGTGAGGTACCTGTTTGAAAGAATCTGACACACCTTTTTTGTCCTTTCAGCTTACATAGCTGAGACAGAAGAAAACAAGAATTTAAGAGCAGCCTGCTTGGGGTTCAGGAAGAACATCTCACATGTACTGAGCAACATGAAAGGTGGCACAGAGAAACTGCAGGAAAAAGATGGAGGGATAAGTGACATCGCTGGCGTTGAAATGTGTCTGAAAGATGGGAGAGTAATGTGTTTGAAACCATCTGTAAGAAGATGCATTTTTGGAATAACGTTTTTGACAATTGGAAAGTAAATCTTAGTCTCAAATAAGACTTCTGAGAAAGAAATTGCTGACATCAAATCAGGACATAACCAACTTGTGGACAAACAGTTCAGCTGTAAGGAAGAAGAGAAGGGGGCAAGAGTTTAAGCGTTATGAAAGATAAAGATGGATAACAGATTCTACCTTTGAGTAGGGATTTCTTGTGTAGATCACAGCTTCTGACATTGGCTGTACGTGGAAGGAAAAAATAACAACCTTTCTCATGGACACAAAACAGATCTTCAGAATCACTTACTTTTTATGCCATAATTTTGCACCCTCAGATTCATTTCTAAAATCAATTAATTCCGTAAGTAATCACTTTTTCATGAACTACATGTAAATTTCACACTCAGCTTGCTAACCACTTTTTCCTCTCATCTGGGAAATCAATTTTTAAGAGATTTATTTTATTTACATTTAATAATTGAATCTATTTGGTAACCAGACAGATAAGTGGTAATTGATAATGTATTGGTACTGGATATTGCCATTTATTCTAGATAGTTGTTAGACTATTAATGAGTATTTCTGAATGTGAACTAATTTGAGAACACTCCAAAAATGTGACATATTTATGACCTGTAAATTCATGTTTGATATGGATAAATTTTCAGAAGGCAAGTTTCATTTCAGGACACAATTTATTTCTTCAAAAATTGTGCTCCTAATTTAGCATCTGCAGTCCAGTTTTTTGGCACAAATTGGCACTGGTGGTGCACATAAACAAAGTGCTCAAATGTTCACTTGCTGTTGATTTTATGATTACAAATTTATTGTATTTGCAATTTCGAGAAGCCAAAATTCAGGATAATCCTCAGTTCCACAGCAGCAAAATCTGACTTATCAAAGATCCTTATAAGAGAGAAGACATCAAAAGAGCTCCTCCCTGGCTTTTACCATCCAGAAGTATTTATATTCAAAAGGTCAATGGTTTCTAAAGCTGCAAAAGTGGTGTTGGCTACTTACCAGAATTTGCAACTTATTCTGCCTTTGTCTGAAACTAAATAGAGTCTTTTTATGTGGGGTAAAAAGGAGAAGGGAGCACAGCCTGGTGACCAACACTCATGTGCCTACATCAAACTTTGTGAGGGCTGATACTGTGTTCAAAATTTGCTCAGTTTCACATTCTTCATATGCCCATTTTCTGTTGCCAGTCTAACAAATATTCAAGTCATCTGATCTATTGCCTTTTGGTCAACTGATCTAACTGCCTTTCTCACTTAAATTCCTGTTCCGGAGCCCTGCCAAATGATGATGCTTATTATGAATGAAACAAGTCATGCCTCTGACATTCCCATGGACCATTGAACTAGTACAATGCAGTAATTACAGGCTAAATATTTTTTATGCTATTACTGAAAATTAAACTAATAAACTTCAGAAGGAAGGCCTACTGCAATTAGGCATAGTATTAAGCATAATTTGAATCTTTCAGGATCACTATGAATTTTCAAGTTCTAGCTAATTTTCTCTTTATCTCCATACCCTACTTTTATGCATTGGTGTTGGATATTTACAGATTTTACTTTTACTCTCAATTGTGTTAGTTTTAATTTCTCCAATAAGACATTATTCTCAACTTGTTCAATGTATTTTCTTGTGGCAACAGTAATATGGAGTTCAGACTACAGGAACATCTGCACAGCAAAACATGTTGTCTGCTCAGGAATTGTTCACAGAAGCTCTGTGGGTTGGTGTTTCTGCTCTACAGTAACAAAATATTAGTACAAAGCACTATGGTACTTCTAGTTCACCCTTGCCTTAGGTGATCTCCTGATGACTTGGTTTGCTTGAGGATAGGATATCCTGGATTCATTCAGATACCCAGTCTGTGCTTCAGGTGCTATTTGTATTGCTTTAGATCCTGTTTGAATGGGCCGTCATACCACCATCACACTTGGCAGGGTGCATTGTATCAAGTACTTGTGCATGGAGGATACAGTTTCCTGGTTTCACCCTGTATCCCGTAGAAACCTGAACAGAACATTTTTCCACACCTTTTTTTTGTTTTTATAGGCACCAGTTTTCCTGTTAAATTGGTTGGAACCCTGTGTTTCTTTCTTTCTTTCTTTCACGAAAAAGACGAATGTTGTTCGTCAGAGACATCAGAAAGAGCTGACAGAGGTCCTTATTTAGAGCAAGTAACGGACCACTACTATTGAAATTAAAACTGACAGTTTCTAAGTCATGACATACCTGCATATTTAATAATTTATATCTTATTTGTTAAATGGTGTTCTGTCTACAAAAGATCGTTTCTATACATTGGTACCAGAAATGGAGGCAGATTTGATTGCTTGGTGTGACCTGTTTGTATTTGCAGAATTGAGAGAGTGGGAGAGTGTTATTTATTTGTCAAAGCAGGTACTAAGAGCCGGGAGACTGAGGTCTATTCTGGATCTGCCATTGACTTTTTATATTTCTCTTTCAGTTTACCTGTGTAAAAACCATGTAATACTCATCTACTTGTCATAGGTGTAATGAGAGTTAACACATATTCATGTGGATGTATTGTAAAAAATTATTTTAGGAGAAAAGCAATATAGAGGTTCTAAGTATTATTTGAATTTTAACCATTTTACTGTCAGGTAAATCTGATGTTTTTGATTCAGTTTGATTTTATTGGCTGGATAAAGAAACAGATTTTTCTGAACTTATTGATACTTCTTTTGTGAGAGGCAGTGGTGCAATTTATACTGCTCTTAAGCATTCCTAATTAGAAGTCCCTAACTGGTAAAGCATGGCACTTCAGAGAGGTCCACGTGGTCAAAGATACTAAATGAAACTAATTATTGATATTGTCACAGGCTTTCATTTGGTTGTTCATAATGTTCTATCTTCTGAGACATTCCAGGTCAGTGAACGTTTACATGTATGCATGGTATACATGGTACTTGTGTGCTTGGCCATGTGAAATCATGTCAGTAGACTCAAATGATGTGGTACGTTTCTTTCTCTTTTAAAAAGAAGCTTTCAGTAATTGAGGCTTATTGAGGCCAGACGGGGGTGATGCATGTGGTTGAAGGATAAACTTTGAAAATTTGGAAGGATTTTTTTCCCTATTTCAACATCGGTTTCACAATATCAGTGCTCTAGAATCCTAGTTTGCTCCTGGCACTACCAATAGTGAGAGCTAAGTGTTAGGGTTTTTTTATTTTTTTGGTTGTTTTCCTTCAAGTCTGGATATCACTAGTGAATGATACCGTGGTAGCTTTTGAAGATGCCATATTACCACATAGTCTACAAGTAGCAGCACAGAAAGACAGTGTTCTATTTGTTTGGGGGTAAAAAGTAATGATTATGAGCTACAAAACTCTGAATTGCTTGGGTTCTTCTTGAAACTCTGTCTCATAATGAATAGCTGTAACCGTGGTGTTCACATTTCGCAAATCTCAGAAGATCTAATGCTTATGTAGCTGCCTATTCTCCTCGGCAGGTTCTGACATTAGAATTTTCTTCCTCAGACTGACTAGAGCTTAGATTGTTGGACCTCTGTCTCCTGAAGTCCAGAATACACAAATGTATCTGCAACAGTATAAAGGATGTATTATTAGCTGTTTCTTGC